GGCGGCGGCGGCACTCTTTCTCTTCTTCTTGGGCATGGCGGAGCTGATGCACTCCTGCAGGAGGTCATCTTCAGAGTCGATGCTGAGGGAGCTGAGTGAGGAGTTCCTGGAGAAGCAGACAGGCGTGTCCTCCACATGGAAGGCTTTGGGCGTGTAGCCGCACAGGCGCGCTTTCGGGTGCGCCTGCGCCGAAGGAAGCGCCGCGGACCCGGCGCCGTCGTCATCCGCCTGGTGCGGCTGGCGCGGGGCCGCAAACTCGTTGTTGTTGTTCTCCTGGTCGATGTCGCTCAGCGAACTAAGCGACGAGTTCCTGGAGAAGCAGACAGGCGTGTCCTCGATGGCGAACTTCTGCTTCTCGTCCAAGGCGGGCGGGTTGGCGCCGGTTTTGCTTTGAGGGAAGACAGCCGCCGCTTTTTTGTCCCGCTCGTGCCGCTTCCTGTCTTCATCCCGTTTCCGGTCCTCGTCGCGCTTCCGGTCTTCGACTTTGTCGTCGTCGTCGAAGTCAAGCGAGCTCAGCGAGTCGTTGCGGGAGAAGCAGCAGGGCGTGCCCTCGATGGGGGTGTAGTGATGCGGTGAGTCGAAGGCGAAGCCCGGCTTGACTTTCGCTGAGGCCGCGCGCTGGGTGGGCTTCACGGGCGACGTCGGCTTCACTGGCGCGGTGGACGAGGGACGTCCAGCGGGTCCCGTGGGCTTCTTGTGTTGCTGGGGGCTAAAAAGGGGCGGGGCTGTAGGAGCAGTGGGTTGGGCCGGCTCACCACTGGTGGATGCTCTCACGGGCTTCCTGGGTTTGGCTTTGGGCATGGCGGCACTGATGCACTCGGCCAAGATGTCGTCACCATTCTCCCCCTCTGGAAGTCCGGTGCGGCGTGCTTGCGAGGCGGCGGGCGCAGTAGGCGGCGCGGCGGGAGGCGCGGCGGCGTTGGCCTCCTCATTGGGCGGTGAGTCGATGGTGAGGTCGCTGAGGGATGTCGCGGTGGAAAAGTTGAGCGGCGTCCCCTCCACGCAGTAGACTCGCGGCACCTCCTCGGCGGGCTGCGGCTCCTTCCTCTGCGGGGGGAGGAGCTTGTAGACGGGAAGCTGGCTGGCTTTGCCTTGCTGCGGTTGCTTCTTTGGTTTCCGTGACGACTTGGGCATGGCCATGATGATGCACGCCTCCAGGATCTGGGTGTCGTCGTCATCGTCGGACTCTTGGAGGACCTGTTGAGACGCCGCTTCCTCTTTGCGCAGAGCTTGGCCGTCGCCCTGGCTGCCGTCTTGCTTCATGTCGGTCGTGATGAAGGGTTCGTCCAGACTGAGCGCGCTCAGACTGGAGGCGTAGGAGAAACCATGTGGCGTGCTCTCAGTAGCAAAGTGCAGTAGGACGTCGGCGCTGCTCTCCTCCACCTCCTTCTTGGCGGCCTTCTCCTCTTCCTCACCCTGGGCGGGAGGCGGCGGCAGCGCCGGGGCCTGCGGCGGGGGCGTCTTAGCGCGGCTGGGGGGCATGGTTTGGCCGGGGCTGTCGGGCAGGTCGCTCGGGCTGACGACGCCGCTGGGCATGCCGCTGCACGGCTCGCTGGAGCGCACTGAGCTCGCGATGGAGGAAGTGGAGAAACTATCCAGGGAGCTGACTGACGTGCAACGACTGAACATGAGCGGCGTCTCCTGAGCGTACGGCTGCTCCGGCGGGCTCTTCGGGGTGCGGGCCCCCGACGTTGCCTGAGGGTGGTGGGCGTGAGCGTG